ACCCTGCTGAACCCTGGTCTGAGAAACAAAGATCTAAATAAGGCCAAAGAGCACCCGGGTTCACTGTTAAACCTCCTGCTCACTGTAGTATGAATCATGAATGTACTTTCACACAGGGTTTAACAGAAAGAAACAGTGAACCCTGGTCTAACGAATCCGTGTTTCCAGGGTTCGCCTAGCATGCCTTCGACTCTTTCTCAAATATTGGGCCCAAATTTTGAAAATTTATGGCCCATTTATGATAATTTTCCTAAAAAGGTCCAAAAAGGCCCACTAATTGAGGCCCAAAAAAACAATTAAAAAATTGCCAAATCAAATACTGTAGATACCAATCCCTGGAAGTCGGTCATTTCAAAATAAAATAGCACCAAATTAAGGAGAGATACAGTAACCATTTTCAACTCTATACAGAAATTCATCTCAGATATTTATCTTAACAAATGGATAAATCCATCATAATGCAGCCCCATATTTTTCACCCTTATGTGTTGTGGACCCTTGCCCTCTGCACTGTACCATTTATAAAAAACAGTATAAATCATATTACCTGTCCTTTTAGCTGTTCAAGAGCTGCAGCAATTTTAGGACCATCTGTCAACTGGGCTAAATGTTCCATCTTTAAGTTGTCATTGCTGTGTGGTTTCCTCCTGTATGTTACTTTTAGATTTGTGGTCTCTCAAGGATTTTTCCTGTAGAGGAAATACAAAATACATCATGTATATAAAATTAAAACCCCACATGGTAACCATTTGGATAATTAAAATGGAATGGGCAAGAGGAAGTAAAACATAAGAATAACTATAAACAACATAAGATATAAGTCCGACTTAATTTAGGCCAATAAAACACCGTCCGTTTATGACCTAATCCGCTGCAATGAGCTTGTTGACATTACCACGGAATATAACTGATCATTTCAGTAAAAATGGTGACCTTACCCTACTGAAATGGAGATTATGTTCCACAGCTATTTCTGAGCTGCGATACAACAGCGCCCAGTCTCTAGGGAACTGATTTTATTTCTACAGGTAACAATACTATACCTGTGAATAATGTGGTTCTAAAGCCTTAACGAAGTAACCTCCTTTGTTTACATTTGCCAAAACATAAAGAAATTAGAAAATTTGTCATAACTTTTTAAAAGCTCGTTAATCTGAACCGATTTCACTTGTTAGTGATGGGTATTTTAGTTGTACACGAACTGAGCATGTCAGTGGCGTTTGTAATATCTCCAAATTAAATATTTCCCCAGTTGAACACACTCAATCCAAGACTTTGTATAACCACGGAATGGATTATACAAAAGAGTATTGAACTAAGATGATCCATTCCGTGGTAATAAATTGAATGCCTTCAACTGGTGAAATATATAATTTGAAGATATTACAATACTGGCATTACAAATGACGCTGGCATGCTCAGTTCGTGTAAATCGAAAATATCTGTAACTGATAAGTGAAATTGGTTCCAATTATTGAGGTTTTAAAAATTTATGACAACTTCTAATTTGTTTACGGTTTGGCGAATGTTAACAAAGGAGGTTACTTCGCTAAAGCTTTAGAGCCACACTATGCCTGGGTATAGATTTGTTACCCCTGGAAAGTAAAATCAATTCCCTGGACACTGGGTGCTGTTGTATCACCCTCAGAAATAGATGTGGAACATTATCTCCATTTCCACAGGGCAAGGTCACAATTTTTACTGAAATGATCAGTTATATTCTGTGGTAATGTCAACACATAGCCGTAGGTAGCGGGGGTTCGGTCAGGATTTCCCAAAATATCATTTTGCGGAAAAATGCAAATTAAATTACTGTGCTATTTGAAAACTACATATATGAGCAGTAAATGATTTAATATTTGTTATGGTGAACACGAGAGCCTTGTTTTGTTTAAAAAAACATGTCATAGTGAAGTAACACTTCCCTCAAAACGTTTGGCAACCTTAGGCATTGGGTGAGATTTAAGGGAAGACCCCAGAGCATGAGATTTTACATTTAGAAATAACAATAATTTCGGACAAGTAACTTAAAAGCTGCTTCTTCTTGGACAAAATAACCCATTTTTGGCAATGGTTAAATCAGTAATTTGTAGGAATTTTGTTTTAAGCCAGTTCTGGTCCAATACGAAGTTATTGAAAGTTATTGAAAACAATGCAGACGTCCCATACTCCGAATGATTTTTACAACATTGACGAATAAATATCTGGGATAGTCGTAATATTGATGAAACACATGTTCTTTCAAATGTGTACATCTCTGCTTTGTTTTATTTCAATTAAAATTTAAAATATTTCTTGGGACGTCCCTGGGGCTGACAAGTCCCCGAAATCAATTGTGTTAAATAATCAAAAACAACGTTGTGAAATGAATTATTTAAAAGCGTACATATCATTTATAAACACAAGCATTTGTTCAAATTTATTCATTCTTCCATTTGTTCAGTATTTATTTACCCATCACTTTTCCAAAGAAAATCAATCATTGCAAAAAATGATTTCGTCTTTTCAGATACACTCCACTCATCTAAGAGATTGTATAGAATTCAAATTGTTATCGTTCCAGTTGAATTGCTCTCCATTTTCATGACATTTGTTAATGTCATGATATGTTAAGCGAATAAATTATATAATAAAAAACATTGAAAAATCATATGGTATTAATCTTCAAATAATGAAGGCCTAATTTGTTATCAAGCCGTCTGAACTTAATAAAATAACAGTCGCTTGTATTTATATATGATTTATATCCACTAAAACATTTTTATTATCAATTGCGGTTGATCTGCTCCGGGGGACTTACCACTGAGCTCCGGGGACGTCCAAAGAAATATTTTTAACTCTTTAAAACAAAGCATAACCGAGACCCACTTATTTGAATAATAGATATTTTTCATCAGTAATACGACTATCCCGGATAGTTTGAAAAGCCTTCGTGTAAACTTTGTGAAAAGTTATCATGGAAGAACGATCTTTCGGAGTATATTGGTGTTTGCGTCAATTTCAATAACCTTGCATTTGATCCTAACTGGCTTCCAACAAGATTCTTGAAAAACAATTATAAGCCATTGCATGAGGTGATTTATTTTGTCCTAGATGAAGTAGATTGTGCGAAATATAGTTGATATTCCTTGTAAACAAATCATGCTCCAGGGTCTACCAGAAATCAGTCGAAATAATGGTGGATTCGGGGCAAATCAGATTTCAGGATATGTATCCAGTAAAAGATTCACCGAAATATATTTTGATGCAGAAAATTAATCATAAGTTGTCTGACTTTTTTGCACGTTGCCTGTTTATTTTACTTTGTGAACATTAAATTTACAAAGCTGCAAGGTCATTTTTGAAAATCATTTTTACGTCCTGTGTTATTTCAATGGGAGAGGTTTCTTGATAAAGCCTATTACTTTCAGTAAATAAAGACATCATTTTGTTAAATAAAATTCAAATTCAATTGTCTACTTAACTTAATGAAGGAAATAAAATGAATTATTTTTCCCCTCCAAAAATAGTTTTTTTTACATATTATGCATATAAGAATTCAAACCTTAAGATGCTTTAATACATAATCCAAGGGTTAGTTAGGATTCCCAAACTTTTGGAGGTAGTGTAATTGTACAAATTGCATAATTTGAGGAACCCTAATGAAGGGGGGGATTGTGAATAACATAAAAATAGAACCCCCGGTCACCAAATCCTGGCTACGCCACTGCAACAAGTTCATTATCGTGGATTAGGTCATACACGGACAGTGTATACATGTATATGTAGCTGCATGCAACAACAATAACGCAGATGTGGAGGAAGTTACCAGTTTTCCACATTTACAGCCTATTCTTATGGGTGTACTACTCTCCCAATCATTCGATTTGGAAAGTACGAGGTTTTCTAAACAAAGCCATTATCATTGACTCTATTCAAGTCAATATACAGGGTGTCCTCAAAGTATCTTTACACTTTACAAAGACTTTGTATTGTTTATTTTGTAGAAACTTTACGGGACACTCTGTACAGTAATTAGTTGAAGATGGCATCTATTGCAATAATAAGACTTACGCGTGTTTGTGTTGATATAAGGACGACCCTTAAATGGTGAAATATAATATTATGCTAATACAGGGGGTGTTTCTGCTCTTATTTAGATATATAGATAAAAGGCTTCAACAGAGTTTTGTCTGGATTTGCTTTCACATATAGGCCTAGTAATGCATTGATTGATCATCGTGATCACGTGACATGATGACAATGCTGACATGTGATCCCTGATGTTTGGATGTTTGCTGATTATTTTTTTGGGAATTGTGCACAAATCTTAGATGATTTAGACCCACACCTCTACATTTCCTCGTCATTCAGTTAATTCATCTGACAAGATAATCTTATCAACATAGCTTTACCATGAAAGAGCTTGCACTTGTTGGTTGTTTACACTTCAAGTTATAAGTTATACCATACCTGTTCGCAGCAGATTGTTTTTGTTTTCAAAGACTGATTTTTGGCAATGGGACTGACCTACAGTGTCGTGATATTTAGTGTATCTTAAGAAAGCAGAGTTTACCAGATTTTTACATGTAAAAGCACAAGAGATATGATTAGGTAAATGATTAGGTAACTTATCTTTGAAGTATTTCGACCAGAACATATTTTTTTGAAGCTGAGGGCGAGTTATCTCCAGAGAAGTTCAAGGGTGGGAGAAGTTCGTTCAGCACGTTCGTGCGTTCTTTCCTAATTACCTTTGGTTAATTTATTCATTCTCACGATCCCGTATAATCACCAAATTTCTGACAATTTTTGGAAACACTTTTCAAGAATATTAAGGATTTTGTATAGACTGTGTAAAAAGACTTCTGTTAATGAGCTTCTTAATATTCCCGGGAAATTAAACATCTGAAGAAGCATTGACGATTTGCTCTGGGGATTGATATTCAAATTTCCCGCAATTTGTATCTGGTGATTCATGGACAAAACTGACCAATAAGATAATTGGTTATTCTTTACTGCGCCACAGATCGATTTTTGCCACAAATCCACAGAAAATGGGAAATACTGACACTAAATTGAATTTCAGGAAAGCTGTGATACAGCTGACAACAAAAACACAGGTATTAGGTTTTTATATGTTCTGTGAATCATTGATTGGGCTAGGGATCTCATTGGAGCCATTCCATACACATACTAGTGTAAATAAATCACAACCACGTCTCAGTAAAAAAATTACAGTAGACTAGAGTAGCCTAGCCTAGATCTAAGTTAGGCCTACAGTGGGGATCATAAAGAATTGCAAAAGCTATGAAAATTACATGCTGTCGCACATGTAATAAATTCTTACCTCAGTGTATTCAGTGCTCTATTTTCTCCGTCTTAGTAAGTCCAAATATAGTGGAAATTGTGTCCCTAATGACAAATAAGAACTTCAAAAGTTGAAGTGGATATTCACATGTTATGCCGACTCTTCAAATGTTGAGGTGATTTTATCGCCCGATTGCGCCGGAATGGAGGATTGGCTCCCAGAATGCAACATGACACGTGCCAGCTTTCAAAATGCTGTTCCGCTATTTTGAAACCTGTCATGAGTAAATACGGTTAACTGATGTTGCATTCTGGGAGTCAACCGTCCTTGGATAACAAACATGGCGATTCATGAAAACATTCATTCGATTTGGTAGGGATTTATCCATTATTTGCAGGTATGAAGCTTTGGATTCATTTATTGTGCTACTTTAGTGAACGGGAATTATTTTTCTACCGCTTGGGAGAGTTTTAAGGCTCTCTAGCCAAATGGGTTACCAAAATGCTAAAGAGCCTTAAATTTAAAGGTTCTTTAGCATTTCGGCTAAAGAGCCTTAAATTTTAAGGCTCTTTAGCATTTTGATAGCCAATTCTGCTAGAGAGCCTTAAAGGAATTCCAGGCGACAGAAATGAAGAAATATTGCTTCTGGGACAAGATCAAACTTATCCCGTGCCAGGACTATAGTCCTGTAACGAGAGCATTCTTTTGCCTGTACGATTACAACTTGGGAGAATTATCTACGCCCCTTACACTTAAGATACCTACTTCAATAGATTCCTGGGTATTTTAGCATTCTTTTCGTGTAGTTGAATCCACAATTGTTTGGGTAAATCGGCAGAATTGGAACATTTTTCTTTTTCATTGAGAGATATTCCATCACTTTCCAAGATGGGGGTTGGATTTAAAAGGGGATTCCCCGTTTGACTGACCCTGAAGTGGCCCGGATAACCAATAAATGGAAGAATTTGACGATTGAAATAAGTTAAATATTACACGCAAATATTGCGATCAAAAACGAAAATTTCGTTGTTCTGCCGATAAACCCAGACAATTGTGGATTCAACTACACGAAAAGAATGCTAAAATACCAAGGAATCTGTTGAAATAGGTATCTTAAGTGTAAGAAGCGTAGAAAATTCTCCCATGTTGTAATCGTACAGGCAAAAGAATAAGACGTTCGCAGGACTATAGTCCTGGTACGGGATAAGATCAAACGACTTTGACATATTCGATACCCAGCCTATTTTGTAATTTAACAATAAGCACAAATATACACCACATTAGCAGATATCAGACAAATTCAAAAAGAAATATTTTTTGATCGATAAAATCACTGATTATTAAACCGGAAGTGTCTTCTCTGAGGTCCGCGATGAAGAAAACATATAACGATTTCAGTCAATTCAATTTTGCCGTCGGTTTAATTTTAAATGGTTCTAAATAATCTTCGAATGCTTACAATGACTTCTATTAGTACTGTTTTGACTTCCCCACTATCACTTTTTACTCGACTCATAAATTTACTTCTGGTCTACTGAGAAAAATAGAAAGTTCTAAAACCTTTTCAATATTCAGTCTAAATTTGGCTTTTTAAAGGTTCAAACGTTGACTTTGAATGGACCTTCATGCATGTATCGAAAATAGGTTCACCAGAGAAGGTGTAAGACCAGGCAATCAAGTAAAAATGTCTTGAGAGTCACATTTATTGATGAATTTGATGCTAGCCTAAAATTGTTGATACATGTACATACATGTACATGTAACAAATGAAGGACTTTTGAGCGGAAGTTTTTGCAAAAGTTTTGAAAAAATATCTCGTCAGATGGAAAATCCTAAAAACAGCATTGAAATCTAATAGGCAATAGATTTTGAAGTGTATTCTGTGATGTCCCCGGGCTGATGTCCCTGCATTCACGATAAACTGCGTCAAGATGTGCTTTATCTAGAATAAACAAGATCCTTTTTTCATCCCCAGGTCTTCATCATACTTTTTGCCATCTTAAAATGGGATTCTCTGTATTCTCGTGACTATAGCAAAGCCAATACAAGTGATTAATTTCATTAAACATTAAACATTGATGATTGAGCGATGGAGCAAGCCCAAGAATTCTAGAAAAAACTGTGTACATAATTTCCGGACCTCAGAGAACAAACTTCCGGCTTGTTATTCAAAATAAAAAAGTGCTCCGTCGGAGAATCGAGCCCACGCCGCAGAAGTGGAAAGCGAGCACCCTAACCAATATACCAGAGTGTTTTTCCATGATAGGACTAATTTTTTTGCAACTCTATAGTCATATACATGTGTGAAATTTTTAAGTGGCATTCTTGGTTGAAAAACTTTCGAGAGTGTTGTTTTATTGTTTAGATGACGAAAACTTCAATAAAAAACAATATAAACACTGATTATAAACACAAAGGCTCTCTAGCCAAAACACTATGTTCGCAGCTAAATAGCCTTAAATTTTAAGGCTCTTTAGCATTTTGGCATTTAGCGAACCCCCCCCTTTCAAAATCATGCAGTTTTTCACCATTCTGACTATTTTTTGAGTGATTTTTGGCCAAATTTGTCAAAGTGAACCCCCCCCTAGAATTTTTTGGAAAAGTGAACCCCCCTTGGAAAATTGGAAAATTCTGGCTACGGGCCTGATCGATGAAACTTTCTTTCAACTTGTCTAATTGCCAGCTTTGGTTGAGCAATTTTTGAGATTGGGTGCCTTTATACCATCTCGTGGAGACCTTCCCATACCCTATACTCGACGGGTTTACATCAGGGCTATAAGCTCAGTGATTATCTGGCCATATCAGTTCAGGTACATGATGCAAATTCTGTTCATTTCTCATGGCACACCACATATTTAAGTGAGACGCTGGTGACCTATTTTATTGAAGTAAAAGGGAACAATTCATAATCCATGGCTAGATTGCATCTTCAAGTTTCATTTGGTATGCAAATTATGATTTTGGGTCAAAAATTAAAAAAGCTATATCATTTTGAAAAAAGTGGCATTTTTTGGCCTACCCTGTATATACTATCCTTTGCTAGAAGGGTGAACTTCTTTCCACTCTACTATACTACTAGTCCCCTGATCTCACTTAACGAATCAAAGCCTGTCAGCTCTTAGAGGTTGTTAATGTACTCTGTAGTTCTCTCTGATTGGTTGAATGTCTAATTATTAAATGAACTGTTTTAGTTAGAGAAGACTAGATAATCTTATAAGCTCAGGGTGGCTACCTACAAGTAATATGATTTCTCTTTCTTTCAGCCAGTTGAAGCAGCAGACGAAGCATTCTGGAATCAGTTCTGGGCAGAGAGTGTCACAACAGTCCAAGATGTATTTACGCTTATTCCTGCAGCGGAGATACGTGCCTTACGGGAAGAATCTCCGTCAAATCTCGCCACATTATGTTATAAAGCTGTTGAACAGCTGTTGCGTGTGGCAGAAAACACATGCGGAAATGCAAGGGATGTGCAAATAGGTACTGTCATGATGAATGAAAATTACCAGTTTCCTTAACATCAGGCAACAGCAATTTTCTCTGGTTGTTTTTACCTTTGCTTTGAAGAATTTTTCTAGTGGCCCCAAAAAGTTGGCCTTTTTTGTCAATACTGGGCATTTTAAGACCTTATTTTTTAATTTTAGGTCAAATTTTGAAGAAAATAGGCCTCAAAATTTCAAAATTTGGGCCCATTTTTTAGTTTTAGGGGCCCAAAGGGCGGAAGTTTTTTTCTTAGACCTGAAATTTAGCCCCCCCCCTTGTTGGGTCGCAGATCCGCCCCTGCATATTGCTTTGGTCTCATGTCGACCAAAATATGAACAAAATATGAATATGAAATATGTTAATTCCAGCTTTAAATTGTGTTCGACTCTTGACGAGAATCCTCCCCTATATATTTGAGGACCCTGATTGGAGGGGGTTTTTCTGGTCGACGCTTCCTGGCCAATCAGAGGAGGGCATGGATGTAAGTACATGTAGTGATATATATTTTTCCCATATAAGTCATCTCTGTTCCTCACACTCATTCAAAGTTGACTATCACACGATTATGATTTAATGAAATCCATTGAACATCTTTATCTAAATCATATGTTTTGTTAGGCTTTATAAAGCAATCTGTTTTTTATAAAAACATGAGTAAATCAAGGTGTATTTTCCTATTAAATTATTTTGGAACATATTTTGATGGAGAAGCTGGATTCGAGAGTTCTGAATGTTTCAGAAGCTTGTATTTATTGATTTTCTGATTGGTTGATTTTTTGATTGACATAACAATAATAGTACTTATTGGATATTTCAGAATGCCACACCAGCTTTAGCACAATCATTACTCAGTGCATTGGGGGTAAGTAGCACAATCATTTATTAGCACAATAGGAGTAAGAAGCACAACAGTGTATCTGTATCTATAAATAAATATATTATTCGTTTTACAATATTTTCATATCTAATTTTTACATGTTTTGAAAGGGGACCAAAATTTGCGTCAAAGTGAAATAATATTAGCAAAAATATGATGCTATCTATATGTTTAGGAGTTGTAAAGTAAAAAAAAGTATTTTATGATTTTGTAAAAGATCAGCTTTTTCTTCCAGGATTTGTTGTTTTGTCCAGACTTTACAGTTCAAAGTAACAGAAAGGCAGGCCCAGTAAGTATACGTACCTTTTTGTTAAAATATGACAATATGAAAATACATGTATATTCTTTGTACACATGGAATCTAATCGTTGTGAACTACAGATAGTGAATAACATTTGGGCAATGGAGTATATTATAATTGATTGATTTTGTTTCTAAGACCAATAACGTATCCTATAGATGAAGGCATTATATGTTTTGAATTTTTAACCCTTATCCCAAAGCTCTTTTGAAGTTCTCATGCTGTCATTTTCATTTCTTAAAAAATAATTCTAAACCCTCATTCCTGACAATAAATTTTTTATCTGGCAATAAATGTTTTTTCTTCCAGGACAACCCAGAGGAACTGGCTTCCTTAGATAGCTGTGAATATAATAAATGTTTTTTCTTCCAGGACAACCCTGAGGAGCTGGCTTCCTTAGATAGCTGTGAATATAATAAATGTTTTTTTCTTCCAGGACAACCCAGAGGAACTGGCTTCCTTAGATAGCTGTGAATATAATAAATGTTTTTTTCTTCCAGGACAATCCCGAGGAGCTGGCTTCCTTAGATAGCTGTGAATATAATAAATGTTTTTTCTTCCAGGACAATCCCGAGGAGCTGGCTTCCTTAGATAGCTGTGAATATAATAAATGTTTTTTTCTTCCAGGACAACCCAGAGGAACTGGCTTCCTTAGATAGCTGTGAATATAATAAATGTTTTTTTCTTCCAGGACAATCCCGAGGAGCTGGCTTCCTTAGATAGCTGTGAATATAATAAATGTTTTTTCTTCCAGGACAATCCCGAGGAGCTGGCTTCCTTAGATAGCTGTGAATATAATAAATGTTTTTTTCTTCCAGGACAATCCCGAGGAGCTGGCTTCCTTAGATAGCTGTGAATATAATAAATGTTTTTTCTTCCAGGACAACCCCGAGGAGCTGGCTTCCTTAGATAGCTGTGAATATAATAAATGTTTTTTCTTCCAGGACAACCCAGAGGAGCTGGCTTCCTTAGATAGCTGTGAATATAATAAATGTTTTTTCTTCCAGGATAACCCTGAGGAACTGGCTCCCTTAGATAGCTGTGAATATAATAAATGTTTTTCTTCCAGGACAACCCTGAGGAACTGGCTTCCTTAGATAGCTGTGAATATAATAAATGTTTTTCTTCCAGGACAACCCCGAGGAGCTGGCTTCCTTAGATAGCTGTGAATATAATAAATGTTTTTTCTTCCAGGACAACCCAGAGGAACTGGCTCCCTTAGATAGCTGTGAATATAATAAATGTTTTTTTCTTCCAGGACAACCCAGAGGAACTGGCTTCCTTAGATAGCTGTGAATATAATAAATGTTTTTTTCTTCCAGGACAATCCCGAGGAGCTGGCTTCCTTAGATAGCTGTGAATATAATAAATGTTTTTTCTTCCAGGACAATCCCGAGGAGCTGGCTTCCTTAGATAGCTGTGAATATAATAAATGTTTTTTTCTTCCAGGACAACCCAGAGGAACTGGCTTCCTTAGATAGCTGTGAATATAATAAATGTTTTTTTCTTCCAGGACAATCCCGAGGAGCTGGCTTCCTTAGATAGCTGTGAATATAATAAATGTTTTTTCTTCCAGGACAATCCCGAGGAGCTGGCTTCCTTAGATAGCTGTGAATATAATAAATGTTTTTTTCTTCCAGGACAATCCCGAGGAGCTGGCTTCCTTAGATAGCTGTGAATATAATAAATGTTTTTTCTTCCAGGACAACCCCGAGGAGCTGGCTTCCTTAGATAGCTGTGAATATAATAAATGTTTTTTCTTCCAGGACAACCCAGAGGAGCTGGCTTCCTTAGATAGCTGTGAATATAATAAATGTTTTTTCTTCCAGGATAACCCTGAGGAACTGGCTCCCTTAGATAGCTGTGAATATAATAAATGTTTTTCTTCCAGGACAACCCTGAGGAACTGGCTTCCTTAGATAGCTGTGAATATAATAAATGTTTTTCTTCCAGGACAACCCCGAGGAGCTGGCTTCCTTAGATAGCTGTGAATATAATAAATGTTTTTTCTTCCAGGACAACCCAGAGGAACTGGCTCCCTTAGATAGCTGTGAATATAATAAATGTTTTTTCTTCCAGGACAACCCAGAGGAGCTGGCTTCCTTAGATAGCTGTGAATATAATAAATGTTTTTTCTTCCAGGACAACCCAGAGGAACTGGCTCCCTTAGATAGCTGTGAATATAATAAATGTTTTTTCTTCCAGGACAACCCTGAGGAGCTGGCTCCCTTAGATAGCTGTGAATATAATAAATGTTTTTTCTTCCAGGATAACCCCGAGGAACTGGCTTCCTTAGATAGCTGTGAATATATATGGGAGGCAGGGGTTGGATTTGCTCATTCTCCTGCAATCAACCTAACACATGACTCTAATAGAGCAGAAATCCTCAAACTGATATTAACATGTTTCTCAGAAACAATGTATCTTCCTCCCGCAGGTCAGTGGTTTATTATGGAAAACTGTAAAATCCTTTTTGTTGCATTTTAAATAATCCAAGCCTTATTTGAATGTCTCTGTTTTTAAGATAAGTTCAATAAACCATAATTTTTGGCGAAGAGAGTACCTGACATGATGCTTGCTCACTTTATTCCTTGTAGTATGTAGATTCCTCTTAAATTCAATCTCATGCATATTTATGATTTTAGCTGAAGCCCATGACAAAAAGAATCTTTGGATTCAGTACCTGACATCCACAGAAAATAGGTTAGTTATATATAGCACTCATCATGTTATAGCACATATAATGTGTTTTCTCACTTTTGCTTAGTTGCAAAGAGGAAGTAGTATCAGAGATTTAAATATACAACTTTGTCCAAAAATTGTAACCTTTTCATCAATCAAAAGAAATAAAATCAATGCATTGTGCATCTTCTATAAAAAGCCTGTCACATTCATGCATTAAACTAGCCAATGTTTGGTATTATTGCTCAGGTCTGAAGTTACAAGTTCTAGGAAGAGAACATAAGCCTTTTTAGCTCACATGGTGAGCTTTTGCAATCGCTCACTTGTCTGTCCGTCCATCCATCCATCCGTCCGTCCGTCCGTCTGTCTGTCCGTCCGTCTGTCTGTCTGTCCGTTAACAATAGTGGCACGTTTTAAAACCTCTGTCGATAGGATTCCTGTTTTAAGTTATTTCTGTTCAACATCAATACAGAAAACTCCCCTATGACTCCTGGTTCAAAAGCTCGCCTATTTTCAAAATGCCCGCCATTTTTGTCTTGCGAAATTCACTTTTGACCCATTTCCTAGCTTTACAAATAATTTCAGGTGGCCTACATTGTAAAAATCCATGTCAATGTAAAGAGTAGATATATGAAATAATTTTGTTACAAAAATCAGCAAAAAATTATATCCATTTTTTTTATTTTCAGCCATTTTAGTTAACATTGATTTGTCCATCTGTCTTGCAAAATCCACTTTGGACCATTGGCCTTAAACCCTCTGTCAATAGGATTCCTGTTTTAAGTTAATTTTGTTCAACATCAATACAAAAAACTCTCATATGACTCTTGGTTCAAAAGCTAGCCTATTTTCAAAATAGTCGCCATTCTTGTCTCGCGAAATTCACTTTTGGCCCATTTCCTAGCTTTACAAATAATTTCAGCTGTCCTGCATTGTAAAAAGCCATGTCACTGTAAAGAGTAGTTGTATGAAATAATTTTGTTCCAAAAAATCGGCAAAATATTATATCAGTTTTTTTTATTTTCAGCCATTTTAGTTTACATTGATTCGTCCAACTGTCTCTCAGTCAGTCCAAAATAGTGGCAAGTTTTAAACCTCTGTCAACACTTTTTAAATCCTCTGTAGATAGGAATCCCGATTTAAAATATTTTTGTTCAACATCAATAAAGAAAAAAAAACTGTGACTCCTGCTTCAAAATCTCGCCTATTTTCAAAATGGCCACCATTTTTGTCTCGGGAAATTCACTTTTGGCCCATTTCCAAGCTTTACAAATAAGTTCAGGTGTCCTGCATTGTAAGAAGCCGTGTCTTTGTAAAGAGTAGTTGTATGAAATAATTTTGTCACAAAAAATCTGCAAAAAATTATACCCGTCTTTTTTATTTTCACTTTTGAGCAACACCATGTGAGCCCAGTACCCACGGTACTAATTTTTTACAAATAATACGCTAAGAGTCACTTACAATTTTGAATTCTAAAACCGTGAACATTTGAAAATAAGTTCTGATATTTCTGACTAGTTATCTTATTTAATTTTTCTTTACTATATCCATATGATTTCTCTGATTCATTTGTGTAAACTTGAAATAAGTTGTAATTCCTCATTTTCTTTTTTCAGACACGCTTTACCCCTCTTCACATCCCTACTGAACATTGTGTGTGCCTATGACCCAGTTGGATATGGTGTCCCCTACAATCACCTAATGTTTAATGACTCCAGGGAGCCATTAGTAGAAATAGCACTTCAGGTAAGCTCATAAATTAACTTCTTCAGTGATATTTTGAAAGATTTGAGAGGAATCCTCTGTTTTATGTGTAAATAAGCGATGGACATATAAATAAAACATAATCCATAAATAAAATGGAATAATGTGTCTTTATGTTATTGTACACTGGCATAATCTTTGTGTACAACCTCAACTTCTAATCACTTCTAGGTCAACAGTTAGGGTGGATTAAAACACATATGTGTGTCATAGGAAATGACCAACATCTTCAGTCTACACAGATAGGCAAAAAATAATTGGTTCGATCAACTCAAGAAGTCAAGAAAACAAATACGGGGATTAAATATCAGACAAAGATCTCACATGTTATGTATAAAGGCCTTAAAGGGACTTATCATGGCAAAATTCAAACATTTAAGACTTATAACATGAAAATAACCTTGTCACATATGTATTGTATGTCACTTTTACATATATTGTAGGTATTATGTGTCACATTAGAGAATGAGAATGCAGAGAAAACACAGGACCAAGACAAAGATGCTGGTGGAGATTGCATTACATCAGATAATCTATTTGTCAACTACCTTTCCCGTATACATAGAGAAGAGGTGAGTTAAGAGAAAATAATGATTTGAAGAATATTGCCCAAATGTCAAAATACGCAATATGTTGAATCTACACTTGTTTTCATGGTGTGTTTTGAGTAATTTAAAGCACCATACTAACCTAGCTCTATTTTCGCATGTTCACACCATTCCATTGGAAATTTTTAATCCATCTTAGAACATAAGGTTCCAAAATTGTCACTTTTACCCAATTATAAGTTATGATCTTTACTTCTACATGTCTGAAAGATAATATTATACAAGATGCATTATTCGAAAACCAGTCTTTTAGAAAAAATTTGTGAGGAAATGCATTTGAATTCAATCATGAAATGTTGGCGTGAAAGAAAATAGAAAATATAACATTGTTAATCCATTATTAGTTTAATTGATTTTGTGTTTTTGACCACAGGACTTCCAATTTATCCTACATGGGATAACACGATTATTGAATAACCCCCTTGTACAAACCTACCTGCCAGGATCAACAAAGAAAGTGCAATTTCACCAAGAATTACTGGTGCTCTTCTGGAAGACGTGCGACATTAACAAAGTAAGTTGTAAATAAATATATTTAAATTGAACACAACACTGAAAAGTAATGAATGTCCAGAAATAATTTTGAATAACTTCGACATGATAACTCTTCTAAATGTAAGACTTCTTTACTTAAAGATCTATTTTAATTGTGGATTCAATTTTATTTATTAAAAATATGTGATGGATATGAATTTTTGCTAACATTTTTTGTATCTTAGTCATGTTCCATGTTATAATGTTTATGTCTGTTTATACACTCTCTTTCAGAAATTTATGTTCTATGTCTTAAAAAGTAGCGACGTTTTAGAAATGCTGATACCTATATTGTATCATTTAAATGATGCTCGGGCTGACCAGTGTAAGTTGAAATGATGATTATGACATCACAATGATGGCTATGACATCACAAGGTTTCACGTCGTATAAGTTGTGATGTGTGAAAGCAAATTATAATTCATGTTTATACATTTATTTATAGTAAATATAATGCATTTTAACATTCTGATCTCAGGTGAAAAAGTAAAAGTTTGATACTCTAAATCATTGGATTTTGCACTCCCTGTATTGATTGACATAACTTAGACAACATGAATGAAACAATTCATAGAAAATCATAAACATGAAGGTTTGCTTCCATACTATATATAGTATATTATTATAATTATTTTGTTGTACCATGTTTATCATATATTATTTCCACTGTAACTTTGGTAATAGTGTCACTTTCGATGCACATTTTGGGTTGTCCATTTTTCACTAGAGAGGTTTTGGGTTGGAAATATTTTTCTAAAATATTCATGTCTTTTTACAGCTACTGTGAGTTGTATGAGGTTTCATACATATTTAGTTCTACTTTATAAGGTACACATCAGCTAAATAATACCATGGTTACAGTGGCTCTGGCCAGATATAGATAATGCATATAAAGATGGACTAAGTACGAGAATTGATGCTGTTTTCTCATATTTGGTCAAACTATATCACCCACCTTACCCTCCCAACCTCCTTTTCGAAAACTGATATTAGCATCTTCATAACATAACAGGTAGATTTAGATTTTGCATGAGATTGATGATTGTTCATTACTAAAAGCATGATTGCAAATTGGTTGGATTAACTAACTAACAAAAATTGCTTTTATAAGGGGTCTCTACCTAACTTAAATTGCCGCCATTCCCAAGTCAAATCGCCATACCAGTCAAATTAACCTGATTATTGGGTATAACTAGATACACAACTTTTTTGAATGATTCTAATATCAGGCTCGAAATGTGATTGGTTCAGTATTTTATAAGTTGTTATGGTTCCTAAATATTTATTTATCCTTTTTTGTATTTTGTAGAAATTCATGTTTTTTGTGTTAAAAAGCAGTGCCGTGCTAGACGTTATTGTACCGATATTGTATCACTTAAATGAGTCCCGGTCTGATCAATGTAAGTGCGCTTGCACTTGAATAGAATGCCTTATATAGACTTGCACGCATTATGTGTGTCACTAACAGCATGTGTTGATCTATATGTGTGTCCTGAAGTAACAAAAGTGCTAGTGTCATTAACTGAATGTATTAGGTTTAAAGGTGTCAGCTATTATAGCATGTGTCATAAATTGCCCTGAATGTATTAGGTTTAAAGGTGTCAGCTGTTATAGCATGTGTCATAAATTGCCCTGAATGTATTAGGTTTAAAGGTGTCAGCTGTTATAGCATGTGTCATAAATTGCCCTGAATGTATTAGGTTTAAAGGTGTCAGCTATTATAGCATGTGTCATAAATTGCCCTGAATGTATTAGGTTTAAAGGTGTCAGCTATTATAGCATGTGTCATAAATTGCCACTCATGTCAGTTTACAATAATGTTGTCAATAAAAGGAGTAGAGTTTTTTTTTTATTATTATGAATTAAAGTGTCATCAGTATGTTCATTAGGTGTCATTAGTCAGATTTATGTTTCATGAATAGAAGGTGACATTAACACCATATGCTTCATTATGTCTACATCACTAATAAATGTGAATGTGTCACACATCAGTCATTACAATTAATGTGATATAAATTAGTGAGTTTGGTCACTTTGGTATAGGTGCCATTAATATGTAATGTTGGAAAGCATGTTCCACTAGTATGGGTCAGACAGTGTCACATTGCATATATGCACACATTTAGATGTCACTAATAAGACATCCTCCTAAGCAGGTGTACAGAATCCGTACCTCCTTCTTCCCCCCTGCTATAACCAATTTGGAAGTGCCCGATTTAACTGAGTCACGTGATCTAATTATTCACCGATGACGTATACATGTTTGCTGTCGCAGTGTTGCGACAGCGAATCAAATTGCAAGTTCTTAATCGGGGAAATGCTAAGTGCTTATAGCAGGGTGTAAAAAGAAAGAAGATATTCTGGATTTTGAAGCCCTGTGATCGTAGGATGCTAATAAGATATATCACTAATAAAAGCACAAACAAAAAGGATTTAAGTCCAGGACTCAATAAATTGTGTATGATTTATGCACAAACTGATTAGTTTTCATACTTTAATTATTTTGTAGCTTTATAAATACTTTCAGGTGTACTTTGTTGTAAAAGCCTATGTTATTGTTAATGGTAGTTATATGTGATAATTTTGTAAAAAGAAATCAGCAAAAACTCATTATCACTTTTTTATTGTCGGCCATTTTGCATTTTTTCATCCTAAAATCTTGTTTGTAAGGTCTTGTCTACACATTTTCAGGTGAACCGTTTGGTAGATCAATTTTGAATTTTCAGGGATGATTTTTAGTACAAAAATCTAGATCTGATTAGTTTTTTGGCATTCTGGGTAAATGTCAAGGCGGCCATTTTGGATTTTCCATCCTAAAATCTTGTCAGTAAAGTCTTGTCTACACATTTTCAGGTGAACCGTTTGGTAGATCAATTTCAAATTTTCAGGGATGATTTTTAGTATGAAAATCTAGATCTGATTAGTTTTTTGGCATTCTGGGTAAATGTCAAGGCAGCCATTTTGGATTTTCCGTCCTAAATCTTGTCAGTAAAGTCTTGTCTAAGTGTTTTCAGGTGAACCGTTTGGTAGATCAATTTCAAATTTTCAGGGATGATTCTTAGTATTAAAATTTAGTTCTGATTAGTTTTTTGGCATTTTGGGTAAATGTCAAGGCAGCCATTTTGGATTTTCCGTTCTAAAATCTTGTCAGTTAAGTCTTGTCTACGCGTTTTCAGGTGAACCGTTTGGTAGATCAATTTCAAATTTTCAGGGATGATTCTTAGTATGAAAATCTAGAACTGATTAGTTTTTTGACATTCTGGGTAAATTTCAAGGCAGCCATTTTGGATTTTCCATCCTTAAATCTTGTCTGTAAAGTCTTGTTTACCCGTTTTCTGGTTAAATGTTTGACGGATCAATTTCAAATTTTCTGGGGTGGTTCATAGTATGAAAATCTAGAACTGACTAATTTTATGGCATTCTGGTTAAAATTTAAGGTGGCCATTTGGATTTCCCGCCCTCAAATTATGTCGGTAAAGTCTTGTCTATTCATTTTCAGGATAACCATTTGACAGGATCACCCATTGTTGGGGACATTTTGTACACATTTGTGTTCTTGTCTCACATTGCTGAAGATTTGTACATTATCATTTAAAAAGATTTTAACCAGAAAAAATTTTGTAATAGTTTTGTATGGTTTGGCATGCATAAGCACCTACCCTGCTATTCATTATGATACTGTATTTATTTAGTTTTTTGTCTCATCTGCCAAATGCACAATATGAAATTGATGAGGTCTTGGTTTAAAAAATAGATTGCAAACTTTAGATTGCAAATTTTGTTCTGATTGTCTAGAGTGTTAATATGTCATGGCTTATTATGCGTGAATGTTACATACATGTATAACATTTAAATCATTTATGCTTTTGATGTAACAATAACAACTTGCTTTCTTCATATGATTTATGTTTTTTGATTGCTGTATCATTGGTCCAATGGTTGGATTCTTTGTTTCATGTCACCACCAAGCATTGGTGACACCTTGTGTTAAAGTTACTGTTTTGTGGCTGACATTAAGTGTCAATGCGCTGTTATAAATGGCTACACTTTATATTTCGAAAAAGTGATGAACTTTTGTCTTGTTAATATTAAACTTGGTTTGTGCTTTAAGTCATTTTTTCTCGGTTCTGCTTGGAAAGTTACTAAATAAATTATTTTGTTATTTTGGATCAATCTTTCAATAGCATCCTTATTAGGATTTGGAGGTAAATTTTTATGGTACATGGGTGTTCAACATTCTAAGACTACTTTGTTTTGGTTGGAGCTTACGTATAAACCTTCTTGAGGTTTAGATTTAGAGGAGGTTTTTCATTATTATTCCTTGTAAAGGTTACATCCAACTTGTACTTAAAGGTCCCTGGTTACATCTTTGTTTTAACTTGTACATCTTAGTAACCAAATTTCAGTTATTATATGAACTGATTTGAAATTATATAAAACCACACATGTTTTAGTTTTATTTATGCACCACTTCAAAAAGTATTGCTGGATTGTTTAAAATCTAAGTGTGTCCAAAATATCAAAAGCAGCTCGCTGATCATATGTCTATGTCAAATATCTTAGGATTAGTTAAGGACAGAATGCAAAGTCAAAGTACCTATCACCATGGTTATTCTTTGACTGATCTGTCCTAAATTAACTCTGAGATTGATTTCTTACATGTTTTTGTATTTAGATAAGTAATTTTAACATGCCTTGTGAGACAAACAATCCTGTACAGTCCTTTTACTAATGGACATGCGGAATAATGTTGTTGACCTTTATATTAATGACGTGTTAATATTTGTTTGATATAAAGAGTCCAAAGGGAAAGTCATGTTGAAAGTTATTTATCTAGAAAGTCATGCATCAAGAATCAACATCACTGACTTTACTCTCCCAGACCAATTGTTGTGGAAAATTATTTCTCAACCTTAGTATTATATTATTAAATTTTACTTATAAATTGTTTGAATATTTTTCAACAATAATGTGATTTTGAGAAATTATGCAAACCTTGATGTTTGACTCTTGTTCATTGTGTGGTTTTGGTTGCTTTTTAGTTAGATACACAATGTACGCATTTTTATTTGCTGTGTCCCTAGCTATCCACTTGACATATCTAAAAAGACATTTAAGACATAAACTTTTTATTATTTTTCTTTATTTAGTCGTTTATTTTTGTTTTTACCATTATCAGTTTTATTACTGTGGTGAGATTATAAATTCAGAACCAAGAACTAAATATTCATTTACAAAGATCAATACAATGCACATTGCTGGAATTTAAATGAAAATCAAAGCAATACTTGAATCCCTATAAATGATATAATAAAAATTCATGTTTTTTTTTTATTTTGCAGCACGCGTTGGTCTGATGCATATTGGAGTTTTCATCCTCTTACTTCTTAGTGGAGAGAGGAACTTTGGAGTGCGACTGAATAAACCATATACTTTACGGGTTCCAATGGACATTCCAGTTTTCACAGGCACCCATGCTGACTTTCTTATTGTAGTAAGAGCTTTTTCCTTGTTTTTCTTTTTTAAATTTTAAGTATACATGTATTATTAAGATTTCCAGTGTGCTAGATTTGATTGAATAATGCCATATTATAAGTTATTGAATGATTTGAAGTGCAACACAGGATATATTCTGCTCGAGAAATTCAGTATTGGTACGAGACGAAGTCGAGTGCCAATACAGAATATCGAGACAGAATATATCCTGTATTGCACTTCAAATCATTCAATAATGTTTTTATCGTGTGATCCTCTGTATTGCAACTCAGATTGTCCCCTCCGTACCAATATTTTCTGTATTGCGACGGAGATGATCAACGGGGACAATCTCAGTAGCAATACAGATTGGTACAGCACAAGAACTGACCAATCAGAGGGCTTCATTTTACAGATCATACGATAAACACAAGTATTGCTTTTAATTTTGTTGCACTTTTTTGATGTAGGTTTTCCACAAGATTATCACGACTGGGCATCAGCGACTTCAGCCTTTATTTGATTGTCTCCTCACAATTATAGTAAACGGTGAGTGAGCAAATATTGCATTCTATCTATTCCTATTATTGGTATATGTAATTTACTCTTATCTTCTCCAATATTTGGTTCACCCTGTATAAACACAAAAATACTTACAGGGTGTTTATACATATGTATCCCTCTTATACTCATGCAGATGCATAGGACATAAGTGTTAAACATCATTGTAAAGATAATCAAAAGTCACATGTGAAGTGCATTGCACCTTGTATGGTACATGTTTATATATAGCCATTTTGATTTTAAAATACTACCACTAAAGACCATTTTTTAATCTACCATAGACTTCCATGTTAAAAAAAACTTGAAATATGAATACCTGGCTCCCTGAACACTTTTGGTGAGTCCCATAGGTCCCAGACTTATTGTATCTGGGTTTTATTTCACATACAGTATTAGCCGTAATTGGTGCCCAGGCACTTAAAGTAAGTCAAAACAGTTCAAAAAGTTGTCCTTATTAGTACCCATATGAGTCCCAACTGAGAAAAATGCCAGAGTCTCACTTTCAGTTTATAAAGAAAATTGAAAAAATGTTTGTTTTTGAAATTCGCTACGTTTGCATGAACTGTGGGGTTCTTACCTATCCTACTCTTTTTGCTTCACCAATGGAATATTAAATATGTACTTACATCAGTATTTTAATCGACTAGTTGATAGGAAAACGATATAAACCTACTGAATCGAATTCAAATTTCTTCTCAGCCTCATTTTGCATTGCATATTGGGACTGACTATTTTCAACACACTGAAACGAGGTGGCAAGATTACTGGAAAAATCACTGGTAGACATAAAAATAATGGATATGGACTTGAATTACCAACATTATATACATCTTATGGTGAAAAGCGTGACATATTCAAGCAGGAATACCTTTTGGAAAGTACTCTATTATTGGCCACTGGATTTCTCAGGTTTGACCCTAATGATCGCTGATTCTCCACCCAGGGGCTCACCCTCGGGCCTCCAAATGTCTGGGGGGGTGCTAATAGGGACATGGGCGCCAATTACGGCTAATATGGTATTACATGTCTGTTCACCATTTCTGACATAACTTGTATTATATTTCCAGTGTCTCCCTATTTGAAGACACTCTCAATGGTCGCCAGTACAAAGCTACTACATCTACTAGAGGTAGGTAAAGCACACCATTTGCAATGTAGCATGCACACATTTGTGGTGAAACATCATTTATAATGAGAAAATATCACATGAATCTTGTTTTTGATTCAAAATTAGATCAAAACACTGGCTTAGATAAGCAAAGTGAACATGCTCAGTTTTATGATTATATGCACACACATCAAATGTGTAATTATGTCTATTTATACTCTGCTTTTCAGGCTTTCAGCACTCCTTGGTTTTTGTTTGCTAGTCCAACCAATCACCATCTTGTTTTCTTCCTCCTTGAGGTCTTCAATAACATCATACAATATCAGTTTGATGGTAAGCATAAATTCATATACAGGCATTTGAAATCTACTTATGGTTATTGTTTAAACAGTTTGGTCTTCTGTCAAATCTTAAGAAAGTACATGTATCTGATTTTCTTTTATTTTTATACAATTCTGAGTTAAAAAGTCAAAAATTGAGGTAAAGTTGGACATTCAAGAAAAGCCAGATATTTATGGAAAGACAGACATCCTGTTAAAGCCAGATATTCAGGTCAAGCCAGATATTAAGGTTAACTAAGCCATCCATTTAAAGTCAGACATTCATGTAAAACCAGCCTTCCAGGTAAGGCAGGCCTTTCCAAACAATAAAGAATTGCAGACAGTTATTTCTTAATCCATGTGCTTATCTTTTCAGGCAATTCCAATCTAGTCTACACAATAATCCGCAAGCGTAATGTTTTCCATCAGCTAGCCAACCTACCTGTGGACCACAGTTCTATCGCCAAAGCCCTCTCTAAAAAGAAAGGTATACATATTTTTGTTTTTGTTTACAGATTGCTGTATGAGTTCACTAGTACAGGTAGTAGTCTCTGTTGTCTGATTTAGTATGAAATTATTTCAATAAAGATCAACAATAACAATAATTCACACATAGCTAGGCAAGGTGTGTCCGATTCCAGCCAATCCCAACAGGGTATTCACATAATGAACAGTGTGTGAAACTATCAATAACACATGTAAGGTCACTGGTTAAACAGTTGTCATGGTGATGAATGGATTTTTCACATTGGATTTGATGACTTGCCAACTTGACCCTTGCATAAAATTTCATTGAAAATGTGTTCTTTTAGTGATTTCGTTTCGTTCCTTTTAAATGATTTTATAGAAAAAATTGAAATGTGTGAAAAGAATTTAAGCCCAAGACTCAATGCATTGTAACTGCTTCATTCCACTCAGGCGTTGTTTCCTAAACTTTGCATTCCCGCTGTGCGGTCATGCAAAGGTTTGGAAACAACACCTTCATGGTATGATTCAGCAAACAATGCATTGAGTCTTGGGCTTAGATCCTTTAATATTTCCAGATGACTGTGTATGATATATTCAAAAGATGATACTGTCAGCAAATTTCAATTTTGTGAAAGCATTTAGATAATGCCAGGGTAGGGGATGGTATCCAAATGATGACATTGTTGAAAATTCATTTTGGTTTTACCCCACCCTGACTATTCTAATCTATGAAATTTGAAATTTTTTATTGACTTTCAATTCAATTTTCCGAGATCTTCATTAATAAAACAGTCACGTATTCCCCCCCTGTATATAATGAAATCAACTTTGTTCATTCACAACTGATCCTTAACAGTATATTATAACATGTACAGTTATGTAAGAAAATTATAACATGTACACAACTAATAGGAAAGATGGCACCAGTGTCTCCCACACTTGATGATGGGGCAGCACCATTAAAGTCAATGGAAGGCTCAACCCCAGCAACAGAAGCAGAGCCAGGGACACTGAAGGCTTCTCTACCAGCACTTCCAGGTACACTACATATAATATCACTCAAATATTTTTTACACATTTCCATGCAAACTGCAGTATGAAATTTACAACTAATTATTTTAATCCCTTAAATGTATAATGTTACTAAGTGTTTATAATCTCACATCATTTTTGATGTTAATTCCTTAGATAAATAACAAACTACACTATCATCATACTTTTGCCAAACTTTGTATTTAACCCTTCTTAATATTCTTTTCAATGGTGCAATATTGTTCACTCTGTGCGGTGTTAACTGACAAAATAGCCTTTAACAATGCCTTGTTTGCAGGATTAGAGAATATGGTGGAGAAAACACCAGCTGCTATGATGCCAGGGAATCCAAGTGGTGATGAAAAAGTGACATTAAAAAATCTAGCATCAACAAGTGGATCTGAATCTATACAGCCTCCTAGTGATATCAAAGATGAAGAGCATGTGGCAGGTGGTGATGCAACTAAGAACAAAACACTATCAAACACTAAAAGTTTGGTATGTGTTAACTGCATTTGTATAAGCTGCTTCATTAAAGGATTTAAGCCTGTATTGTATCAAGAGTTTCAATTAGGGTGCGATGTGTAGTTTTCACCCAATTAATCATTGATTCCATAAACACTATTATATTATAGTATATAAGTAGGCTATATATAATATGATATGTTTTCTAGATACATAGGAAAAAGCAATATATTTTAAGTTCATTTTTCAGCCTACACCACCGCATAGTCCTACAGAGAAAGTTGGGCCTAGTGACGTAGCAAGGCCTCCACTGATGCGTACAGGATCACAGACAAGTACAGGATGGGTGGCCTCACCTGATTGGGTAAAATAAATCTATATTTCTCTCTCATTTTCATAAATAGAGCAAGCTATATGCCCTTTTACTTTGTGCCTTCATAACTCCTCCAAATCCTTCTTGTACTGTTGGAAAACATGCTTAATGGTATTTTCTCCATTGTATTTAGGTCCAGTCTTGGAAGCAGAAACTCCCATTACAGACCATCATGAGACTGTTGCAAGTTTTAGTCCCCCAAGTTGAAAAGATCTGCATTGACAAGTATGTAGTTTTGTATGTAGTCATGAAAATAAGATGTCACTGAAACAAAAAAAACTCAATAGTTTTTATAAGTTTAGTATATCAGCAATCTTAGTCAATCGAGCAGTGAAACCAACTCACTTATTACTACCAAAAACTCTGAAATGCTCTCAAAATGAAGATCCAAGAACTGGCTTTTTCAATACTATCTTTGGAGTAATACTGTAACTCACCAAGTTATGCCGAGTGACTCAACTGCTTTTATTTACTGTTTAGCAATAACGATCGAAAATTCTGACCCTGGCAGGAAATTGCATAAAAAAATGGCAAATTTCAACCCTCCCCCTTCCAATCCCAATTCTGTTAGACTTAAGTGCTAATTACACCCTTGTGGCAATTAACACTTGAAGATTCTATTTGGACAACTTCTGGATTATGTAACAGTACTGTACACCTGTTATTATAAGTGAAAACCAAACCAAAACAAAAATGATTTTCTGATGATTTTAGGGGCTTGACAGATGAAAGTGAAATCCTTAAGTTCTTACAGCATGGTACACTAGTTGGTTTACTTCCTGTTCCTCATCCAATCCTTATAAGGAAGTACCAGGCAAATAGCGGCACAACCATGTGGTTTAGAACTTACATGTGGGGTGTCATATATCTCAGGTAATATATTATATAGTCATATACTAGCTTTCTAATAAGAAAACTCCAGCTTTCTTAATGATTCAATATGTGTTTTTTCTGTTCAAAATGAATGTTTAAGCCGTGAATTGATAAGCATTGTGGTCAATTGTATTTCCTGCCATTTTCTCCAAAATAATTATTTTTAATCAAGAGTATGCCTTATTTCTCTATTTCCACTATATTTTGCAATCTCAAAGCATTATAACATTTTATATTCGTTATTTTTATATTTCCAGGAATGTGGATCCCCCTATATGGTATGACACTGATGTAAAATTATTTGAAATCCAACGAGTCTAATACAACCAGCTGCTATAAATACACAATGAAATACACTCTATAGAGGAGATTGCCCCATTGTTGAATAAAACTGTGGCTTGTACATTATACACAAATGTACTGTATATCCCTGAAGCGATGTCCTCTTAGTCCAGTTGCCCAGAAAAAGGGGTCGTTTTAGGATATAAAGTTTTTTTCAGTGCATAATCTGATAGTTCTTGACATACTGAAGTTTAGCAATCTGCAAAATTTTATATATATGCGATAGTGTTCCAATAGGAAAGAGTGCAATGGTATCTGCTTGAAGTACAGTTAAGCAATGGCTAAACAATAATTGTCCTCTTAGGATTTTTGGTTGTATATATCCTTTATATCAGATAAAGTGTATTCTCAGTGCAGCTCTTAGGTTTTCAACGAATAGACCTATTAAAAATATATTTAATTGAGGGCTTTTTCATTTCAATATAAACAGTATGAATCCTTGCAAAGAATGATAATAAAAATAGGAAGTTTTTAATTCAACAATTATCAATAAAAACTTGAATAGACAAGGCATGCAGAGATATCAATAATCTGATTGGTTCACAGACAGCTGCTAATTATATTCCACCAATCAGATTACTCTAGTCTTTGATTTGTATATAAGCTATTCATTCAAGATTCTTTCAGGTATTGCAAACTCCTGAATGTTTCAGTTTAATGTTCCATTTTGTTTTCCGATATAAAGTACATATTAGTGCACATACTTATAATACTAGGATACATGTAGGTATTAGACATTTTAGAAGTCGTTTCCAGTCGTATATCAGCTTGTTGCAATATCACCCAATTTACTCTTTCAGTTGGATTCCATATGTAAAAGGAGTCTTGTTTAAATAGTAAAATGGATGAAAGAAATGCTTAAATATTTTGTTAGAATTACCTGATAGTATAGGTAGCCATATAGGACAGTCCATATGTGAAATGACTGAATGGTTATGTTTTCAATGAAAATGGATTTAGCATGGAAAAATACAATTTAGAGAGGAGTGGCATTGAAAAGCATGACCAAGTAGTCAATTACACAAACTGTTAGTGATCCCTTCAATGTAATATTGTACATGTGTAATGTATGCAAGATAAATATTATATTATGAAACACAGCTATAACTGAATGTTATATGAATAGCTTGCTGTTATGCAGTCTGAATTACAACATCATTTTGTCCCATAAAAAGGTTAGTTCTGCTTTTCACTGGACACCCTGTGATTTATCTTCCAAAATGGTTGGTGATTCAGAATGTATAGTATCAAGTAAGGAGCAAATAATTTATTTATTTTTAATGAGATGTATATAATACAATAATTCAGTGTATAATAATTATCATTGATTGTACATATAGAGGGGGGTAGAGGAAAAGGGTTTATAGTCAGTTGAGACAGAGGAAACAATGATCTGTATTTTTAATAGCCCTGTCGGAATGGTTACTAATAACGTTGTTTATTTTGACACCATCCATGCGGGGTTGTAAGAATATAGCATAAGGTTAAAGTAACACCATTGAATATCTCTTCAGTAGCAACATTTTCTGACTTGAATTTCACAAAATGCAAATAAATGAAAGATTAAGTTGAATGAAATCTTTTTTTTGAAAAGTAAGTTGAATGAAATGTCCTTTTGCATAGGGGGCTCAAGTTTGTCAACAGACTCTTTAATTAATCTCCTATTGCATTCTTCTTCTCATGTTTTCTATTGATGATAATCACAACAGTAATAACACAGAAATGATAATGTTGTATGTTAATTTATGTCATCAATATTGAAAACATTTAGCAGCTAGGTGAAGGAGTCTATAATGGAATGGCCTCTCTAATATGGCTCTGGATATCTATGAAAGATCCTAGTACAGTAGTACAAATATATCTTTTTCTTTGTAAGACTCCTTATCCTTTAAAGACACTTGTTATGTTGTTTTCTGGACACATGTTGCTTGATTTCACTTGTGTCTTTCACGAGTTGTTGCTTAATAAAAACAAAATATGGTGTTCAATATAAGCTAATGTAAGAAATATATTCAGTTGATATTGTTTTACTTATGTGACCTGTCATAAGAGATATCTAGTATATAAAATAAATATGTATACATTGTAAAATAACTAAGTTTGTTTATTTTCCATCATATACCGATTATGTCAGAGGAAATGACCATATATATAAAGTTGTCAGTATTTTGCCAATAAACTCTGATTGGCTTGGTGAGTTCAGAGATTCATTGTAAACTGAGAGTAAAGACGAAGTTCTCTTTTAAGAAGCGTTGTCATACAAATGCAAAGGGTAACTGCTCACAAGCTCTGGTTCAAGTTTGCCCATATATCACTGCAAAGATTGGAGTCGAAGTTTTCTCAAAAAATAATGCTAATAATAATAATCTTCAAGGTCTGCAATAAAAAAAAACCATGACTTTCAAGATGCAAGAATAATTTGTTTTCTGCACCAATTCCTCATGGTATCAACACCAGATATTTTCTGCATACTCAATCTGCATAGGTAATATCAAACCAATATTTGCTAAAATTTGAACATGGACATGGACAATTTGATAAAGAACGAATCTTCCCCTGAAAAATGATATGCAAGTGAATCAATTTTTTTACTTGAAAACCTAGATAATAAATGCTTTTTCCCATTTATGCGAAATCATCAAACTTTGGGATTGTATAGGAAGGGTGAATTATGGTAAGCAAATGAAAATATTCACATGACTATTTAGTAGTATTTACCCCTAAAGGAATACCTTTTCTAGTTATTTAGGATCACCCTCGCTTTAAATTTATTGAACATCGTTGTCCCCAAGCCAGAAAAACTTTCAATTCTATTTATTTCCTCTTTTTCATTTTCAATATATTATTATATCATATATAGACTATTTATAACCGATGGGTGCTCAATACAGACTAGCTATTAAAGATGGAACTGCAAGCATTGATTGAAGTTGTCATGGAGGTCAAGAATTAATATTATATTGGTTCAATACCATTATGCCATCTATTAGCAGCCAGGTGCATGATCACGTGACCACTTACTCAATCAAGAATGATTACTGAAGAAAGAAGTAGTTTCACGGATGCTCCGTGTTACATTGTCAAAAATGACAGATTAATGGGAATTTTTCAAATACCAACGTGATCATCGGATGCAGTGAATTATGTATTCTTAATTGAACACATTTCAAACGGATTTAAAGACAGAGGGATTATAATTTCAGCTGTTAAACTAGGAGCAGAATTTGTGCTTTAGCAAGGAGCGCCATTCGACCATCTTTGATATTTGAAGAGAAAAAAAATTATCAGATCTTCATTCTCATTCTGAAAGGTGTTACATCTACACATTCTGTTTATAATCTGCATATGGACATAAATTCTTGGATTACCTCCAATCTAAAGAGGATATTATTTACCCTTGGATTTTGATACACACATTGCAAATAGCTATGTCAAAATGCAATGTTTTGATTGTGCTTCAATCAAGCATAAACTCTCAGTAAAATACCACAGTTTGGGTATGGGTCCGATATTATAGCAGTACATATGAGTTATAATGGCAGAGGAATCTAGTGGTAAAATGGACACCAACATTCTGACTGTGGATATACCTTTGGAGGTTATCCATCGCAACCCAACAAATCACAACAATGACGATTCAGATCATGAGGAATTAGATGTTGAGTCATCCCTAAATCGTAGACATGGTTCATTTAGAAGTGCATTAAGTTATAGAACCGCAACGGATTCAGAAATGAGTGTCCCGGCTCGAGAAAGACGTGAATCTTATGGAGTTCGTTTATCAGAGACACACGAAACTGTGGAATTTGATATCAATGACGATTTGGATGAAGAAGAGGAACTACCGTTCCCAGGATTTTCTAAAATATCTTGTTGGAAGTTGACGCAAACAATGCCGTTAAGATTTTGGTGCCTCAAGATCATCACATGGCCATATCCTTTTTAAATAAGTAATTCATAAATATTGTTAATTAATTATATAAAAAAATGGTAAGTATTTTTTCAGAATTTTCAGATTTTTTGCTTTTTGGAATCAAATCCATGTATTTCACAATATTAGACTATAGATTTGATATCCACATACCATTTCTAGGACTATGTTGATGGAATCTTGTACGTTCATACCCTTTGTAAGTTAGGTTGTGCCAGATAACGCAACCAATTACTGAGAAAACACATTTGACATTTCCAACGTTATCAATCTCAACCTACAACAAAAATAGCTGCTAACAACAAGAAAAATGGTCCAATCAAACAATCTCCCAAGTGCACTACATGTTGTGTATTCTGTTATATTGAATAGTACCTGTTCCATTCCCAGACAACAGTTAACCAGAGATCCATATAGTCAACGATAATGAGGCCCAATTATATTGTTCAGCCACAATAAGTTGTAAAAGTCGATGCATTTAATGATCATATCAATACGTAGGTTCCTGGGTTGTCATGCTCTGGAAAAATTCCTTGCTTTGAGAATAAGAGGTAGCCTAGGTAGAATATTAATCCAATATGCAAAATATAATTTTCGATCATGCACGAGGTTAGTGCTTATCCACAGGCTGCAGGGAATATTGATCTAGCACATTGATTAGTCCACAGTGAGGCAATACAATGTTAAAATAGTAGTTGTCTGCTCATGCTAACTGAATTCTGCGATCTATTTCACCATGAAATTTGAAGCAATGACAGATTTCATTGCTTCCCAGTACGTAATTTGATGTGTAGGCTTCATGCTTATATGATTTATTCCTGGTAAAGTTGACTTTTTCAAATTACACGATTGAATATTTAAAAGATGATACTTAAGACATTTTACAAGTCAATGTTATTTGTTTATATGGGTAAAATACAGTTACTTAGTTCAGTTCATGTTTTGATTATTTATAGAGGTTATATATAACAATAAGAACTTACAATTGGCAATCCTAAACCCAATAAACAATAGAAAAATGATTCTAATCAACTGGGCTCATAGGGTTATTGGTATTTGTGTTATTGTCAAGTATATCACAGAGATATATTGCGGAATAATTGGGAACTGATATTAGATGTTCCTCAAATAGATGGTCTCATTTGCTTGCCATCTACTTTATACATATTATTCGGATGCATTGATTTTTGTACATCTCCACATTCATGGTTATATCTTACTGAAAATGGGAATTCCGTTCTCACAAAATATAACTCCAAATCGAGGTAACATCAACATGTTACATATTCTTCATCAATTGTTCTTTTAAACTTTCGAATGTTTAGACAATAATTGCAAATTTTTATATTGATTTTTAATTTGACATTAATGATATGATATGTATATTATGAACGCCTTATATTGTAAGGTCATCTATTATATATGTACATATATATTGTCGTCCTGTAAAGTGATGCCACATTATGTGAGTTACATCCAAATGAATGAATCAGTTGCAGAAATAGATATTAAATCTAAAGTGATTTTTCTTGAGTGTAGCTTGTCATGTTTTTTTTTTTCTATCACGAGAGATGGCAAGGGGAGGGGGGGATTTAAGAGAGGCAGGGGGCCACTAATTAAGTATTGGAACAGCATGGCTTGATTTTATTACAGACTCAAGAATATAGGTTTATATGTGATTATTAATTTGAAAACATCGTTAATAGCTAAATGAAATGGCATACCAGAGAGTTAGCAATAATCTTGGTTTCCAAACATTGCCAGTCAAGATTAAACCATGGGTCTGTAAGTTTCTGATTACAGATTACTGTATTTGTTACATTATTTCTTTTCACTTACAATGTTGATATGATTTAATAAATAATGTTAAGCTTATTACACCTATTGTTGCACAAATTATGTTTTCGAAATTTACCATAATCTGGTATATTATAACAACATATATTATATCATACAGAATGTTATTCTGTGATTCACCATGGCAAGATTGTGAGGGGCCGAGGCTACATAGCATTATTGGCCCCCCTCTAGAAAGTTAAAACATATAATAAATCACTGGAGTGTGTAGGATTGCAACGGACAGACGGTTGTCCACCAGGTCTTGACCATGATGATATAAATGAGTGTTAAAAATAGTTTACATAAATCTTAATATAAAGGGTCCAGATTCATAATCGCTTCTTTTGAAATGTTCTGAATATAAAATAGGCACCCAGCTTAGAACTGAATTTAAGGTGCATTGTAGAAAAATTAAGATTCAAGAGATCATGGCCTAAATAACATTTTAGGAAGATTTATATCTCATATTGGGTTAATTATACATAGTTGACCTGGTATTTTAAAATAATTTTTGACATATATTTCTGATTTTCCTGCAATCATAGATGACTACAATTATGAAATTTAAGTTTGGCCTCTGACATAATTTTTTTTCTCTTACAAAGAATATCAAACTTCCAAAAGATGGATTATTGAAAAGGTTTGCTTAGAATAACTTTTTATGAATTTTTGTTCTCATGAAAGCCATATTGCTGATAAGATTATTACAACGGCATGTTCTTGACATTCTTGTTGGAGATCATCTTAGAAATATCCATCCTTCACAATGACATTTCAAAGAAACTAAGTTAACACCTTGGACGAAATTGCTCTCTCAAGTCAACCTGCGTCTATCTGGATCATCAAATATTCTTCAGCTGATATTTCCCATTTCAATGTCATGTAGATTTTTCTTCTCCCAGTTTGTAGATTCACAATAATGACATTATACAATCAATATCACCAAATTGAACTCAGGGCTGTCTTCGTGCAATATGATTATACACTCGCTGATTCTGTTCAATAAAAAGAATGTATAAGCTGCAGACGAGGGAAATTGACAA